ATTTAAAGTGGCACTTGATGTATTATAAGGTTAATGAACTTTATTATAAAGGAAATAAGTAAGGGACTCAATACACGTTATTACAACTATTAATCTTACCGGAATATTTTGATTGACTTTTGAAAAAGAACAACTCCAAAATACCTGTATGAAAAATATATTTGTTGGTATGTTTTTCTTTTATGCAAATATCAAAGGTGAACAGTTAAAAACCCTTACTAAGCTGCAGCATAATATTTTGTTCATAACATTTTATTCTGTTTACAAACATTTAACATGTGTGTTAAATAGAATCATAAAATCTAAAACTTTCCGGTTTTGTTGTTGTTGTTGTTGTTGTTTTGTTGGGGTTTTTTTTGTTGTTGTTTTTTGTGTTCACCATAATGATACTTTCAAAAATAAGCTGAAAAAAGTAGATATAAGATATTCTGAGGTAAAACACAAAAAATACAAAACAACGGTGGTAGACCTGAAAAAACATTATAGGCATTACTAATTTTTAGCGAGTTGATTAAGTCGCCGTAAAAACATATTTGCAGGCATTTCTTAATTCTAAATTACACCATTTATATTACATGTTGAATTCTGCTTATGCCGGTGTCGCGTACGCGGATGATTATTACGCAGCGGCTTAATTATCATACGGTTAATGTTAGTGCCGTTAGAATCACACGAACGGTCATATATTTACTTTAAATTAGTTAAATTATATACCATTTTATGTCAAAATGAAATCCGCATCTAATGTTTTTTTTGTGTGGGAATTCTTTAACTTTCTAACACATGGGAGTGTTTTAAAAAGCATGTATTGCAGCGACTTTATGAATATTTATAATTATGTTCCGATAAATAATTTTTAAAAAGTTTAAGAACTCCGACTTTGTAATGTGTTATATTAATTGTGCTTTCACACAGTTTGAAGTAGTGCCGTAGTAATCATATGTACGGTCTTATATACACTCCGAAAAACTTGAATTATATACCATTTTATTCCAAAATGAATTCCGCATATCATGTTAAAACTTTTGTGCGAATGCTATGTTTTTCCAAAACACGGGAATGCATTAAAAAAGCACATTTTACTGGAATTTTGACACGAGGTGGTCCTTTTCTTATGAATACATATAATACTGTTTAATTTTTTTCTGATAAATATTTTTACCCAGAAGTTAAAATGTATTTGATTTGTTGCATTTAAATAAAGTGCTCAAGATTATATTCTCAAAAAATGAGATTTGAAATGCGTATTTGTTATGTTTTATCAGGGCAGAGACATAGATAACATGTTATCTACATCTCTGATCAGAGGTAATAACTATGTTGAATGTCGTGTATTCAACTGAGTATAATAACAAATTTAATGTTGATGCTGCACACCAAAGAAGCCGCCAAATGATGTTAACAGTCACAGGTAATGTACAAAATCAGCCTTGAAAATCGTTCTCTATTACAGTTGAATATCCGAAGCACTAGTCAATTTTTTCTCCTTGTTCTTGTTATGTGCTCGTTTTTCAATAATTGCGTTGCATATTTTTGTGAAAAAATGGTATACATAAAATAAATTCAAGACAAAGACAAAGGTAAAAAATATCTTCGTTGCGCCGAGAATATGTCCATTTAAATATTGGTGCGAATTGCATAATGTTCGAATGACTTTGAGGACGAACTGTTCAAATAGCAAAAATATGTCTGAAGTATCAAATAATAGTTATGAATAAATTGTTAAATATAATAAATTCTTAGTTACGTATCTTTTTCTTATTTCTTAAAATTAAACACAAGATTGCATATTTGCCTCACGAGCTTTACGATTGAGAGAGAACCGCCTCTCTGATAGTAGGCGTGGGTTAGGTTATGTAAATTGCAATTTTAATGATTAGTCCTAATGTTGCACGGAAGTGATATTGATCATAGTTATCCTGGTTCCATTCCCTCCGTCATCGGAGACTAAATGCTAGCATACAGAGTAAGCATGCATTCAAATTTGGTGACAATTAAAGGCGGAGCCGTACTTTAACAAAGGCAGAGCAAATGAAGTGAGTGACACTGCCTCAGTTGTTACCTCTCTCAATTGTTAAGTTTTAGAATAATCGACTATAGACTGGCTCGTTGGCACGTTATTTATCAGGTAAATAAAATTAGATAATAATAAGAAGAATATGACATTCAGACATGACACTTCAGTTAAACGTTAATTTTAATTCCTTAAAGCTCGGTGACATGCTGTACATCAAAATAGCTATTTTTATTAGGAACTTTGAAAACAGTGTGATGTTGTTAAAACAGAAGAAAGATACACAAAATCAAGTCTAAAATTTATAATTTTAATAAAAATGATAATAATGTTTAATTATTAACGAAACGCAAAAGTCAAGTGCTGTGTGGCAGCTGTAAAAAGATGCCCCGTACTTCACTTCAGTGTTGTTATATTTTTCTGGTCCTTCGGGATCATTGATGCCAGCACTATTAAGTGTTGAGAATTGAGTACCGCTCAAGCCGGTGCTAGGGGGCGTGAGGGATGTTACACATTTTCGTTATCCCTCATGTACAGACTCAATCAAACCGAGTCTGCAATTCTCTTATAATTTTGTTGTGATTAATGCTTCCGAGGGATCACTTTGTTTCCAGATTTTTATACTTCACAACAGCAGGTGTCAAGTGCTGTGTGGCAGCTGTAAAAAGTTGCCCCGTACTTCACTTCAGTGTTGTTATATTTTTCTGGTCCTTCGGGATCATTGATGTCAGCACTATTAAGTGTTGAGAATTGAGTACCGCTCAAGCCGGTGCTAGGGGGCGTGAGGGATGTTGCACATTTTCATAATCCCTCATGTACAGACTCAGTCCAACTGAGTCTTCAATTTTTTTTTATAATTTTATTGTGATTAATGCTTCCAAGGGATCACTTTGTTTCAAGATTTTTACCACATCAAACGTTAATGTTTACGCAAAATAGTGCTGATGCGTCTTTTTTTCGCGCTGTAACATCTGCAGAAGCATGCTCGGGCTTAAATACACTGGGTGACCCCGTCGTTAAAGTTCCTGCAGATGCTAATGCACGAAAAAAAAGTGTTACCTTTTATATATTGCGTTAAGTTTAGGAGACTAAATTATCCCTTCTGTATCCAATAAAAATATAGCATAAATGCCCTAAATATGATGACACACGAGTGTTTTCCTCCGCTTTCAGGGAAGTGTAATAGCAACACTATTTTTGTTACAAAGCTAACCGAAATACTACCAAATATTACTAGAGAAAACCTCAATGTTAATTCGATTTAAAGAAACCTGCACAGTTCTGTATACATGTATAATAGTTAGTTGTCAAGGTCAACAGCGAACCGGCGTGATGCATATGATTTTAGCCTATTAACTATATTCAGTAGACAAGCATTGCTAGCGGCAAGTGAATTAAGGCGATAAAAAACATAATTCGTTGAACTGTGACGCCTGTATCTCTTCAATTTTATAATTGAGCTAATTTATTCTTGCATATCAGACTGGCGTTTCCGTTAGTTTTACCCATGCCGGAAATTTCATCTGGCATGGGGGGTTCCAGATGAGTCGCGTGCTGTACAATGGCACGATAAAGATGACGTCATTTTACCGTTATAAATGATTTTGTAATTCATACGCTGTTGTAAGAAAATAGTTACGGTTGTAATGATATAAATTTTCATTGAAAATAAAGAAAAAGAATTTAAAATATATTGACATATAGTAGAATATGCAAGAAAAAATATCTGACATATGTTTGCGGTTCGGATCGGAATATCCGTCCCTCGGTCACCCGCCCATGGGCGGTAACTCGGCAAGCCTCGTTACCGCCCAATGGGCGGGTCACCTCGGGACGGATATTCCGATCCGAACTGCAAAATATGACAGATATTATTATGTTAAATTAAGGCTTGAAATGTGTTGCCTTGGACAACGAAGTATAAATTCACCCATAAATTCTGAAGAAAATAAATATTATCAGAATTTTCAAATACATGTTCCGAAATAATTATTCTATGCTGAAGATTTATACTAATTTTCAATGCCAGTTTAAAAAAAACATGTTAAAGCCGTGGTAATGTTACGCCCGTGTGCTGATTACGCGACACCGGTGCACACGGCAACACAAAACGAACCGTTAACATTATCAATTAAGCCGTTTTAAATGTCTATTTTCACTATATTTTGTATCGATTATTTTTGTATAGATGCATTTACATCGTACGTATTAAATTATTTGAAATAACTTACATAATATTGTCCTACACAATCATAGTTTATCAATAAGTACCGAATGTTACTCGATATGTACATTGATGTCAAAAAACATGTAATTTTATTTTTTAACATAACACTATGTAAGAAAAGTAATATGATTTATTGACATCTATGTTAGACGAACATTTCTTAATGATTTGAATATACATACTAGTATGTAATCGCGAAAGTCATTACGTCGTCACGCGATGTCTTACGTGAGCACGCGTACGTAATACCTATTACGTGGTCACTCGTGCGCGCACAATAGATGTGTCGTGCGCAGGTTATAGCTGTCGCGTGCGCACGTAGTAAATAAAAGATTTCCTATGTCAGCTTTATGCGTCTTGGACAGATGATACAAAGTGATAAATGTATCATAGAGTGTTGGACCGTTGTTTTAAGCTTTAACTATTTCAGGAAACACGTTTAAATAATTTACTAGTCATAAATGTGCGGACAAATAACGCTATCATTATTTTTATTTTATATAAATTTTAATAGCAATATATCAAATAAAAATGACTTATTATGATAATAAATTCATAATCACTTTTGCATTTCACACTTCATATTTGTTAACGATTTAAAAACTATTCATGGTATTCAGCGATGTAAAACATACATGAAAGTCAAAAATAAATCTTTTAAAATAACATTATGGTGTAGTGACCGAACCCATTGAACGGACCGCGGTGAAATCAATATTTCAATTAATACTTGCAGGCATTCAAATAAATCCTATATATATATGTACAAGTTTATTGATGGTGGTATCACAATAAGAACTTTACGTTGATAGTCAATAACCTGATATAGGCTGGTCAGTTTAATGTTTAAATTAATGCGGTGTTATGTGGATGATTTGAAGCCATAGTAAACAAAAGGACTTGAAATTATATTTGGAGCAACCCCTCAAGGTTTGTGAATAAGGAAATGTTATACTCGACAAATGAACTGAAGTATTGTGATGATTTCATCACGATATGAACAGAACAGAACAGAAATTTTATTCATAAAACGTCAGAAGTAAGAATTAATGTTTCAATATATATATTTCTATCATTCGGAGATGTGAAATTCTTTATTTCATTTTCAAGAGCGAATCTCAGTTTGTATGCACTTCAGAATGCACTTATTTTTTATACTGCTTGTTCATATTCAACCGTACCTGTCGAATTTTAAACAAGCGTGTATTTTACGTCGACTTAATTTCATCTGCATAAAAAGAAAACTTTACTTGAGGCACAATGTACGGAAATATGGAAGTATGCTTTATCGTGGAATAATAGGCGATTTTCTATGTTAAACATATAACGAACATACCATGTATATGAGCCTGCTAAAACTTTAAAACAGATATTAATAAAATTATTATATGCTGTATGGTTAACTGTGAGAAATGCTATTGAGAAAATTACTATTTCATTGTAATAGGGGATAAAGATTAAAGATTTGTATTAGTGCTGGTTTTAACATGTTAACGGTTGGTCAAAGTTATGATAACATGTCAAATACCGGTCAAAGTCTAATTGTTAATAGTTCAATGCACATTAGTCTACATTTCCATTTGTTATAGATCGATTTGAGAGCTTAAAGAAATCAAATATTTATAGCTTCGCTACCATTTGGGGAAATCGACATTATTACCGTTGTTAAATATATAAAATTGTTTGATAAATAAAATTGCTTGGTATATACGATTGCTTGGTATATTTGATCAAATATTAGTGTAGTTGTAGTATTGTTTATGTTGCGCTTTTGCAATTTCATACATGCAAACATTGTGCAAGGTGCGTAAATCTTAAATACCCATCAGAAATATAGAAATCAACGCAGCTTGAAAAACTAACTTATAAACAAATAATGGTACATCACCGAAATGTTTTTAATCAAACTTTTATCTTAACTAAAATCAAACGAGTTTACCGACAAAATAAAAAAAGATTAGAATAAATCTGTTCTGTTACAAATATACATATATTGGGTAACTCAATGATATACCATGCCAAACGTATACAATCTATTTAAATTTTATATTATAATTTATTTCCTGTTGAACAGTTTTACCCATATAAAATTATTTATAAAATTTCTTGTACATTGTGCATTAAACTGCATACAAAATGAAAAATAATTACGAATAGTTTATATTTGTACTGAGGATGTTAAAAAAATAAATGCGTGTTACAAATTAATGATCATGTATGTAGAGATTGAGGTTGTTGAAGTTATACATATGTATATAATTATGCTAATAAAATAATTTTCAAAAATTGAAGAATATGTAAAATATGTACTGCAAATATCTGTGCACACATTACATGTAATCATTAAAATACATGTATATGCATTCATTTTTATTGAAAAATTTGACTTAGACTTTTTAGAAAATAAATTTCTAATTACCTCCCTTTATTAACATGAAATGTTAAATTCGGTAATATCTTTATAAATAATGCTTTTTGGAACTAACAATATTGATAAATCTTCATTTGAGCATTATATTTATGATATAAAACCATAAAAGAATTGAGTAACAGGATATTTAATCAACTATTTCAGCTATGTCAAAGCGGACAAATAAAGTAGTACACTCAGATACATCAAAAGAAGAAAATGAGATTTCGCTGGATACAGTTCTCGAACATAGCGTGAACTCTCGTGACGAAAATATGATGGCCATGGAGGACAAAACATCGAACCCAAACCGGAAACAGCGTAAAGCGAGGTAAAATTTTTAAATGCATTTCAAAAGGAAGAAAAATGTTTCTTCAAGGCCATGTTTCTTCATTTGAAACCAGTACTGGTTGATTCCAGGAAGCGGACTCGAGAAAGATTATTATAAGTTGCAAGAACTTGTTTCGCAATCGAGCTTAAATATATATGTTTAAACCAAAGGGAAAAATTCAAAATGTACTAAACGTGTTAGTGAGATTAAATGTTCAAGTTTAGAGTTTTTATTAAGCGGTCATACAGAGAACAAAAAAATCACCCGTATCTTACATTTTATTGATTTAAATACAAATATATTTCAACTGCTGATGAACCAATTATTATCAAACTTGCGTAAGTCATGAACTTATCATATTTATCAACTATACTGAATCACACAATCTAGCTTATATTTATGAGCCAGAAATATAACCAAATAGGCATATATTTGTGCAAGCTAAATATCTATGTTCATCTATTTTCAGAAAAAAAGCTAAACATCTTAGCCAGAAATGGGTGAGATTATATTTAAAAATTAACAACAATTTCCTGAAACGGATGTACACTATATGAAGCATAAAAATTGAAACAGCTCTTTCAATAAGGGCTTACTTTTAAGATAGGCGTAAATATGAAAAGTAGCAGTATACAAAGTTATTAATGGTCCACACTACCTAAATATTATATTCCAATCGTCAACTTCAGAGACAGCATATTATTCACTTAGGAACAAAAACATTATATGACAATAGATTGGCGATGTAACATCGCAAAAAACGTCCGTTTCGCAGAACGTGCGAGTAAGTGTGGACGTTTTGCGTTGTAATTCGTACACTTGAGAACGTTTTGCGTTACAATTCGTACATGGGTACGTTTTTCGGAAAAGTGTACTTTTGCCGCATATTGTCTATACAAGGAAAGGAAAACATTAGATTCTGAAGCTATTTGATAATTTTTGTAATGATAAAATATAAGAAAGGTTTAAATGCTCGCGTAAGAAATAAATGTACTTAGCTCCATGTTTATCTTTAAAAACATGCACGAGAAAGACATACTCTTTGCAGAAACTAGAACCATTCATTTACTTCGATATTGTACTGCTTGGTAGCATATGGTTATATATTACAAACTGTGAAACAAATATTTACGGCTTTCCTAATAATTATAAAGCTACCAGTTGTTTACATGATTTGTGAGTACCTCTTCCCCTGTTCCGTTAGAAGAATTGACACTTATGTTTGGCATGATTCTAGCCCTAACTTGATAGATCTTGTGTTCTTATTTATTTGCGTTTCTTTGGCATAATCGTTTGTAAGTTATGCCATTCAGTACAAAAACACATTAATTTTAAATGTAAATGTATAAATTAATCATAAAAGAATAAAACAGAAGTCAAAAAATACATCGGCAGAGCTTCATCATACTGTGTGTGATATATTACACGAATAAAAATACCGAGTATCTCATTGTTTAAAAGAATTAATATTTCTTCTCAAAGCAATCCATGCCATCTCGAACGATTGATGACATGGTTGGAAAGTTGTCTAATAAAGATGATGAAACTCTTACCAAGCGATCATTTGATAGAACAGATGAAGAAGATTTCTCACTCTCGTATGTAGAAGATGTCAAAAAGGTAAATATGTTTTTCAAACATTCAACTAACGTTTTAAAAAAACCCACAGCAGTTTCCAACTAGAAATGTCGACAGGCGGTCAATTACTTTAATTTTCAAATACATTACAGCAGGAACCAAAGTAAAAAGGTTAAAAGCAGATAAGGACTTTAACTGGAAGAGAAAAAGGATTTCAAATCTGCCTGAATTATTCGTGACGTACTAGAAAATTTTAATCGACTCTAATAAACTTGTAATCGAATCGGCCGCTCATAAATTCATTTCTATTCGCTGACTAGTCTGCAATTAACCGGCATTCAAAGTCGCTTAAAAAAATAAATAATTTGAAATATTTATGTTCGTTTATTTTTCTTTGGTATATTTTACTTGCTTATAATTGCAAACTTTTGTACTGTTTTAGAGACAGTATTAATATTTAAATCGAGAAATATGCTATTTAGAACAAAACTTAACAATTAACTTAACGTAATGTAATATAAAATAATAAATTTACAGAATCAGAAATATTACAACGTACGCCAAAACAAAAGTTCGGCAGAGCTTTATCACTCACACTATGGGTGATAAACTGTAATTGATATTGATTTTGCCACACCAATGAAACCTAGTACTTGAACTCCTGAACATAAAGTAAATTAATTTCTCTTCTCAAAGCAATCCATGCCATCTCGAACGATAAAGCCTCGGCCTCACTTACTCCCGGCAGAGCCCAGGACCATCCCGGTAAGTTACCGGGATGATTCGGGACGATCCGGGATGAAATTATTGTTGCGGTCACACTTACCCCGGCAGCACTACAGTAGTTCCCTACTAACCACCCAGGATGCGCTCCGGATCATCCAGGCAGAGCCCAGGTGAAGCTACGGTTCATGCCGGTGCTTCCCCGGTCGTTCCCGGATGACGCCGGAAGAGCCCCGGTTGACCCAGGCAGAGCCCCGGTCGATCCAGGCAGAGCCCCGGCAGAGCCCAGGACGATCCAGGCAGAGCCCCGGTAGAACCCCGGTGGATTGAAAACCCCCGAAAATGATAACTTTGATACATAATTTTTATTTAATTTAATATCTATTGTTCCAGAATAGTAATTCATGATGATTTTCTGAAAAATCCTTATGCCGTACTGGATAGAAGGGAAATGGGAAGGCTTTAAATACAAACAAGTTCAATCATCACAAATTGTCCTTATTTTTTTGAAATGATCCGGGCTTTGCCGGGGCTCTACCGGGGCTCTACCGGGATCAACCGTAGCTCTACCTTTATCCTCCGGGGCTCTGCCTGTAGTTACCGGGGCTCTGCCGGCATATACCGAGGCTCTACCGTAGCTCTACCGTAGCTCTACCGGCTATATCATACCCCGGATCATCCCCGGTTTGTGCCGGCAGAGCTACGGTGCTTTCCCGGTATCACCCCGGTCGTTCCCGGCAGAGCTAAGGATGATGCCGGCAAAGCTTTACCTTCCCGGATCATCCCGGACCACCCCGGTGATATTAAATATTTTATTCCATCCGGGGTCGAATGCCGGATGTTCCCGGATCATCCCTGATCATCCAGGACGTTGCCGGCAGAGTTACGGATGTACCCCGGTTGTTCCCGGTCGTACACCGGTCGTTCCCGGATCACCCCGGACGTCTACCGGGGCTCTGCCGGGATGTAAGTGAGACTGTAGCTTAAATGAAATGGTTGGACAGTTGTCTGTTAAAGATAATGAAAACCTCAGTGAGCACTCATTTGATAGAACAGATGAAGAATGGTCACCCTCAGATGTGGAAGAAGAACATGTTGGAAAGGTAAATCTAATGCCTGGTTCCTAATTTAGGTCTAAACCACTTTTCTTAGTCAAAGTGAAGTAATTTGGTGAACTGACCCTTCAGTTAATGTCAATAATATAATTATAATATTTACTAAAAAAGAAGGGTTACATGTGTTGGAACGAGAAACTTATTGATTTTTAAACTAATACCAGTCATGACTCTTGGTAACTAATACCTAGCATTTAGGCATTTTGAATTAAGCCTACAGGAATTTACAGAGCCAGGTGGAGCATATGTCTTCTATTTCTAAATTCCTAGTTTATTTATATGCCATCGTGTTAGTATATTTTAAAACAAATTAGTTAATTGAGGTAGTGGAGAAGTACAAGGGGTTTTGGTGGACTTATCCGATATCCCTTTACAAAACAGTCACACTCATTATATGTCTGGCACGTGAGATAATATACTATATAGAATCACAGACACTCGTAATCAGGCTGTGACCTCTTCTTGATTCTTAGTAACGTTTAACATTTTAACACGAGTGGGACATCTGTTTCAGTCATAAACTTGGTTTTAGTCATTTTTCATATGAGTGAAAAAATAAATGTGCGACTTGTGTGTTCTTATCCGTATTAGATATGAACCCCTGCGTGTGCAATATTAGTGTACTTAATGTTTTACTAATTCCCTTTATTTTCACACACAAATCTTCACGTTTTATTATATACTTATAAGACATGGATATTGCCCTCAACACTAGAACTAGAATTAAAACAGGTTCTATTGATAACATCTTATCTTCGCAACCAGTTGTTTCCATATGGATCAATGCTACCCCGAACCTCCTAAATTTAGTTTAAGCACTTCTATGACAAAATGGTACACTAAACTAAAATATTTTTCAATCAGTGGTTTCTGTGTGTATAATCTATAGGTTATTTCGACCATTATTCCTGCTATAAACAATTCCATATAAAACATTTTCCATTTTCCAAGTTGGAGTGACATCTATATATCTTTTTTGATTCATCCATTTTACACAAAACAGCTCAAGTCTATTGAAAATAAAGCTTCTGTCATAAAACGTTCTCGTCTGTGAAAACTGATACCATAACCAATTAACCGGTGCTGATATTCAGACCCAGTTGAAAAATGGGAAAGGTAAAACATATGCGTTTTATCAATAATTTTTCAGTTTGTCTTCTTAGCGTTTTAGTATTTTTATAATGTAAATTGATAACACTATCAATATGCGTTAATGGGAGAGTAAAAACTGCAACGTCATTTTGTAGAATGGTGCAATATGCAAATAAAAATTTAACTGCCATCATTATGCGTTTAGTGAGTGGAAAACCATTCTAATATAAACAATAAGCGTCTGTGTGTATTTAAGCCCTGTCTCTCATAACAATAAGGGAAATCAATTTTAGATTAAGAGTACTTGTTTGTAATCAAAACGACAAACCCAATACCTCAAAGTTATGTTCATTTTCGCCATAAAATTATCAACATTTTAACCATTTATAGAAGAAATTTATTTCTGAAAAACTATAAAGGTATTGAAAACTTGATTTATATCTTTCCTGTAATTTAATTTTGCTTTACATAATAAAAATGTGTTTATGGCTCGGATTTAATAACAGTATGTCATAATCATGCATTTTTAACTGTTATAAATTTGATAAAGTTATTCTAAACATTCACATACCGATCTATATAACAAGTACTAACTTTAGATTTGATTTCTACTTGAATTGGGCATACAATATCTCATAGAATGAAAAAGACTGTTTTATAGTGCAGAATTAATTATGTATTGAAACACATACTTCAAGCACTGTTACAGAAAATTATTTACCGGTGTAAATCACTTACTTTCAACGGCTTATAATTAGTAGTCCATTTGCTAAACAAATATATATATATAAAAACGTTAGATAAAGTAAATTTACTACAATGTTTTAATTTTTATCACCGGAATTTGTAATTTAAAAATGATTTGAGCCGTGTCACGACAAAGGCAACGTAATGCGTTTGCGACCAGCATGAATCCAGATCAGCCTGCGCATCCGCGCTGTCTGATCAGAATCCATGCTGTTCGCTATCTGTTTCTCTACTTGTTATACGGTTTGTGAGCGAACAACATGGATCCTGTTCAGACTGCGCGGATGCGCAGGCTGGTCTGGATCCATGCCGGTAGCAAACGCATTATGTTGGTTTTTGTGTGACGCGGCTCTTTGTTTTTTTTATTTTACAGATAACAGATGACTTACAAAAACTGTCAGTAAGTACATTTTATACAGTGGTAATTCTATGTAAATGAAATTGACAAGTCACTTAATCCTGTGTAGTGTAAACATTACTTTTGATTTAAAATCAAATGTAATTGAAATTAACTATATTATTAAACCATTTGTGAATTTCACTAAAACTGCATGATATTTAAACACAGTAACTTGTAACATAATAAAAAAAACACACTTTGTTACAGTGACAATTTTTTTTCTTTCTCGCTCTACATACATCATTTATGTTTTTATTAAATAAATATAATTATAAAACTCACAGGTAAAACAATTATTGTTATATTAATTTCTGCTTCAAGGTGTCTGAAACTATAAATGAAAGGGTTCGGAGGCTTGCAAGGGGAAAGCCTGGCTTTGTTAACAAAGCTGGAAAAGCCACCGGGCAGCCACACACGCGTAGCCCCCGAGAATTAATCAGATTGCCGAGTGTTTCGGTGTTCTTTCTCTTTTGTATCATAGTCAAACATAAAAGCACGTTCCCTGTTGTCACAATATGAAACTCCGGCAAAAATGAACCAATGAACGAACATCTGAATATGACATTTTTGTCGCTTTCCGTTTCTCTGCCGTCACAATATGTAAACCCCAGCAAAAATGAGCCAATCAATGGGCATGTTCTGGAGTGCAGGTAACTAATACCCGCACTCGGGTTAACGCACTGTACATGTATATGTATACGATTCAACCCTGACACATTTTCAACAGAAAGGTCTCCAAACTATGATACAACCACGTTATATATTCCGTACATACTCATTAGTATGTAGTTTTGGTCGGTTACCCACGTTATATATCCCGTACGTACACATAAGTATGTAGAATGGATTATATAGTATGTATATACTATATTAGTATATAGGATGGATCGGTTACCCACGTTATATATTGCGTATATACCACATTAGTATGTAGTATTGGTCGGTTATCCACGTTATATATTTCGGTTATCCGCGTTATATATTTCATACATACTCATTAGTATGTAGTATTGGTCGGATACCCACGTTATATATTCCTTACGTACACATAAGTATGTAGAGAAGGTCGGTTACTCACGTTATATATTCTGTATATACTATATTAGTATGTAGGGTTGGTCGGTTACCCACGTTATATATTTCGTACATACTCATTAGTATGTATTTTGGTCTTTACTCACGTTATATATTCCGTACGTACACATAAGTATGTAGAATGGGTCGGTTGCCCACGTTATATATTCTGTATTTACTATTTTAGTACATGTATATAGGATGGGTCGGTTAACCACGTTATATATTCCCTATGTAGAATGTACGGACTATAAACCGTTGGTAACCAACGTTGTTAAAAAAATTATTTAGTGAAAGTGAACATATTTTGCTCATTATCTTTAATAGTAAATTATGAAAAAATACCACACTTTACAAAATGTTGATTGGAATGAGAAAATATGCATGTTGGACTTAAATGTAATATTTTTCTAAAATGAACATTTTTTTACACTATCATTATGATATAGTTAATTGATGGAGAAATACGTGTAAAGAGTTTTGGTAGAATGGTGTATATGAATATATAAATAATAAGCTTTATGCTTTATTATTATGCGCACGAAAATCAGGAGCTATGGATCTAATTTGATAACAGTTTCATAAAATTATACATTTGTAAGTGGTATAAATTTGATAGAGTTATTCTAAACATTCTCATACTATTCCAATATAACCATTACTTACTTTCGATTTGATTTCTAGCTGAATTAGACTTAAAATATCTCTTAGAATAAAACTAAAAACTTTTTATAGTGCAGACTTTATCGTGTATTTAAACATATACTGTAAGAACTGTTAAAGAAAATCATTTACCGGTGTTATTGACTTTCAACGACTAATGTTTAGTCCCTTTGCTTAACGAATATAATGCACGGTCTTTCGAAAAGGCAATTAAAACATCCTTTAGATGAAATAAAATTGTATTTGGTATTTGTAGTTTTAAAACTGAATGATTTTTTTACAGATATCTTCTGAAAACGATAAAAATGACTTACAAAAACTGACAGTAAGTACATTGTAGACAAATTTACATTTCTGTGGTAAATCTATGTAGTCGCTTTAACCTTAATATAAACTACATGTTATATATTTGAAAGCGATTATAGTTTAATCTATTTGAGAATTAAAAAAAAACTGATTTTAAAATACGATAACTTGTTACAAAATAACAAACACAATTTGTTTCTGAGAAAAATTGTAAATAATTTGTTGTTTTATTTCTCGCTCTACATACATCATATCTGTTTTCATTAAATTATATTAATTTCTGCTTCAAGGTGTCTGAAACTATTAATGACAGGGTTCTGAGGCTTGCAAAGGGAAAGCCTGGCTTTGTTAACAAAGCTGGAAAAGCCACCGGGCAGCCACACTTAAATGTACGAGAGGAAGATGAAGATTTCGGAAAGGTAAATCTTAAAGAAATATTTTTATATTGGAACATTGACACTTCATTTATAAATCCATCATCAGTTTTTCACGTTATATATTCCGTAATTTAGGATGGGTCGGCCACCCAAATTAATATATTCCGTACATACAACATCAGTATGTAGTACGGGTCAGTATCCACGTTATATATTCCGTACAACTACATTAGTTTTGAGGATAACCAACGATGTTATACACCAGTCTTATGAACATATTTTGCTCATTTATATAAAACTTGTTAAAAGAAAAATACCATAACTTACGAACTTTTTTATGGGAATTACATAATTGGCATGCAATATTCTTTAAAAACAAACAATTGTTTACACTATCATTTTGATTTGGCTAATTGAGTAGAACGTGCAATGGGTTTTGGTGGAATTGTGTCATATGAATATAGAAATAATTATCAATATTATTCGCACGACACATTATCCTACATTTTATGGTTGGATTGCATTTTTATAATTTCTTGATGTAAATGTGATAAATTGATTGATTTTTATTTTTTAAAGTGTATCAATTTCAATGAAATTATTGTCGGGGCGTTGGTGTATATGTTATTAACATTTTTATATCTCAGTGCATAAAAACGATAACAAATGGAATCACTTTGAATTTTGATGTACCTGCTGATTTTCAAAGCGGACCCTGTTTAGACAATTTTGAAATTTAAGTTTGGTTAAACCTAAGTTATGATCATGCTTCCCAAAACGTTACCTTATGTTTAGTGCCCTTATTGTTTTGGCTAGACCGATCTTTGAATATATCGATGTGTCAATCAATATGAAAACATGGTCGCTTTATGCTTCCATTTAAACACCATACATCCATACGTAACATTTCAAGTTCTTGTTGATAAATGTTTCTTATAATTTAGAATGTATCCGCTTCTACAGAAACAAATTCCAGGTTACTTATATTCTTGCACTATTTCAAATAATTCGTTTCTCGTATGTATTTAGTACTATTTACTGAGTTGCTTGTACTTTTGAGTGAGAAAATTGAAATGTTCTTTTCACCTATTTACTTATTTTACATTGGTATGAAGGTCACTTATTTTCCAAAGACTATTTTGTTAAACGGTGTCGAAGAATTTTGAAATTGCAAAATATTTTCGTGGTGTTGTTGTTGTTATTATCATTTTGATACTTAATTAAGTGATTAATATATTGGATTCAGTTTGTAACCAGTTATACAATTAATCAGTTACCAGTTTGTAACCAGTTATACAATTAACCAGTTACCAGTTTGTAACCAGTTATATAGGGAGAATGTTACCAGTTATGTAAAATGTAAAAAAATTAGTTTGGTTAAGCATATTTTGTCAATATGTTATGAATAACATAAGTGAATTAATTATTAAAATTATAATAATTATGTCTGTAATTTTGCAATTATCTGTTGAACAAAGATGCTAAGATATTTTGATAAGAATTCTTAAAAGGATTCATAGTACAATAAATTTCTCTTCAAAGGAATCTCGTCCATCCAAAGAAATTGCTTAGCAGGTTAGGAAAAAACCTAGGCGAAATCGAAGCCCTCTTAACAGTCCTGAAACGCTTCCCAAAGAAAAACAAATACTTGAGAGAATAAATGAAGGCGATTTGACAGGGGAGGAAAATGACGAAGAAAAAGAAATAAAAAGGGTATATTTCATTTTATCTTTTACATTAGACTGTTAAAAATCTTTAAATACTTTACTTTATTCACATTTAAGCGGTCAAAGATATTCACTTCAAACTTTAAACATTTATTATCAAAAATTTCAAATCTTTGAAAATTCGAAAGCTTGAATGAACGCTTGCAGATATTTCATTGTGGAAGAAATAGAACGGTTCATATAATTGAAAATCAAATGAGAAAGTTTTATATGATCAATTTATTTTTTCATGGAAGGTATCAAAGCCGTCTGAAATAATCAAGGAGACAGCTGGAAAACCTTCAAAACGACGACGACAAAGTCCTTTTGCTGTTAAGACAGGGCAGTCACAGGAAACAGTGGATGAGTGGGATTGGGAAGATTGTGTTGGAGAAGGAGGAAAGGTAAATAAAGCTAGGGTTACTATATTCAGTGTTACACAAAAATTGAATAAAAATTAACATACACTGCTTCCTTAGTAAATGACTGAAAGTTACCAAACCATGTAAGTGTACTGGAATATAAGATGATTAAATTTTTGTCGTGGAATTAAATTAGTGAACAAAGTAAAAGTAACACAATCTGTCCATAGTTCTCTAAGTAAATGAGAAGAAGTTAAAAGAAACGCAAACATCAAAAAAGATATTGACATCATTGAAATGATGTAAAAAAGGATGAATTAAATGTTCGACAAAATTTGAAAGAACAATGTTATGCAAATCAAATGTGAATTGCCCATGTTTTATGTTAAAAGTGTATCAGTTACATTCACAATGAGAAGAAGAAAACATGCAACTGTTGTCACTGGTTGTATAGGTCGTGAACAGCGTTCCTTGGCATGTTAGTTAATTGTATAGTGGTATTTGAATTCAAAAACATAACAGATTACTGTTGCAACTAGATCCCTCGCGAAAACAACAGGTACTTGACACACTGCTGTTTCAAATCTTTGAAGAAGAGGCAAAACAATTGTTGGATATTTTGATTTTATAGCACATGTTCAGTTTCAGTTGCGATAACTTACTGTTTTACTTTCACAGCGATCTATACCATCAAAGGTGATTGCTAAGAGGGCTGGAAAGCTATCTCGCTTATATCGAAGATTTGCTAACAAATTTGGGGGATTCACGGAGCGAGCGCAGCCACGCAAGTCAGCACATAAAAGAAATATGCCAAGCTCAGATGATGATGATGATGGTGATACCGAACAGGTAGAAATTATAAAATATAATGTAGAATAATGTAAACTTCTCTGCTTCAATTTTAGCAGTGTGCGAATTAACTATAACTATAAAAATTACTTTGAAAATTATTAATATTCGCTTTAACTTTTGCTATGCCTGGTTGAAGTTTTGAATGTATTTTCTACCTTACTCCCTTAAAAAAGTTTTCTTCAAATTTCACAATGTTTATGGGTCTTAGACCAAGAACTGTAGCATTAATGACCAATGATAGATAAAGATTCCAATGATGCCTTATCTACAAACATTAACTGTATTATAGTTACTGAGCCAGTTTCACTACTATATAATTAGATTTTAATTAATGTTACACTTTTTTAGTTCAGTAGATATAGTTATTTGATAGACTCCATATGATTATTTTTTCAAACACATAAAATCTTCATACACAGAAATTAGTTGAGTGCGTTGACTGTTTCAACACTCATTCTTACATTTCTTGATAAAAAGTGGTTGTTATATACAAAAAAATGTTATATTCAAAACTGTTCTAATAACGAAAATCACAGGCGTCCAAATATTGCAAAAAAAGAGATGCTTCACTGATTCATTGCGTATGTCATTACAGAAATTGACACTTGTTGCAATAAAACAAAAAGAAACAATGAAATAGGACCTGCAAAAATGTTTTTAGCAAGAACACCACACATGCTGGACAATATATGCCCGAATGTAAATTTGTCTGAGTAATCAAATGTTAAAGTTTAGTAAAAATCGTCCGGACATATAATGATCCGAAGTTGGCCATAATAAGGTACATGTATTTTGTAGGTTTGTCGTTGGGATATAATATAGTCAAGATAATTATATAAATTAATCCAATTTGTAAACGCCCACTTTTATCAATTTTATATATTTATTTATGAGATTATCAATCAAAGTAATTAAAGAAAAGATGATACAGATTCTAAATGAAGGAATTGGCTAAATTGTATTGAATGATAAGGCAGTCGAATTAAGTTCACACTTTGTAGTGTTTACTTTAAGACTTGAGTCTTAAGTTAAATGTAAAGGCTCGAGCGTTAATGTATTGACCAAAGTGGTCCAGCATTTAACTGCTAGTCATTAGTAAAGTTCGGTTATTTATTCATTCAGCAAACAATATAATTACAACTGATTGGATAACGATAACTAAAAAATCTAGAAACTGATTCGTTAATTACTATCACTATTGACCAATCAAATCACTTCTTTTATTTAACGCTTGGTAAGAGACTCAAAATGAATGCCTCCATAATAATAAAGAAAATATGAGAATGTAATATTAAGTAATTTGTGAAAAAGTAAGTTAATAAAAGTCAACCTATTACACAAAAATAATTTTCCATTTAGAGAAAAAACTCACTCAAGAAACCTGTAAGAAAAATGTTTTATCTTAATTATCATTATGATGCTTACGACATCTAATGTGAAGGCATTTTGTACCCTAAGTGAGTGCATGATACATAAAACTTTTATAGAGGTCTACTAGGCAATGATTTATGCCAAATATAGAGGCATGGTATTTATCCACAAAAGATTTTTGACGATATGATTTTTTTCAATCTTGAAATTTATTGAAAAATGTAAACATGGTTTTGATAATGTTTCAAGAGCGTATGGTGCTAGATATGAACTTAAACTCTAATCCCTTGGCTTTACAGTTTCAATTAAGATTTTAATGAGTTTTCCAGTGACATCTGGACGGGCAAATGTTGACCCCATGGACATGATATATAACAATTTTGCAGACATTCATAAGGTATTGTTACATGCTTAAAAACTTTGCTATTGGCATTGTAGTTTCACAAAATAAGACTTAAAAGTGTTTTCTAATACAAATCTATATCAGCTCATTGACCACAGTGGCGGGGCCAACAATGACCCAAAGGACATGATTCATATCAGTTTTGTCAAAAACGCATGTTACATGCGAAGTGTAGACATTGCAGTTTCACAAAATGAAATGTTAATGTGTTTTCCTATATATGTCTATATAAGTCTATATAAATCAATCAATACACGGGGTTGGGCCAGATTGGATCTCAGTAAGCTTGAACGGTGTTCTGCACATCGTCCCATTACTAGTAATATTTCTGCCAAACGGTTTAAATTCTTTCTATTGGTTCAAACAATAAAGAGCAGACACAGAATTTTGAAATTGATACCAGTGACTGCATTAATAAATAAGTGTGAACTTGACTTGAGAAAGGTCAAACCTGCGCTTTGCAAATCGTCTCATTATAATTTACATTTTTGCCAAAAAGTTTTAATTTGCTTCCACCAGACTCGAAAACTGCTAACAGACAAACCGACGGACGAACGACCAGGTGTATAACATAATACGCCGATATTGTTTCGGTCGTATAAAAAGCAGAAGTGATATAGCTGAATACATTTCGTCCTGATTACGAATCATATTGTCATTTGATTGAAATTGGAACTCCTCGGTCTCCAAACAGATGACAAATGTCACCCAAAATAATTTGTCTCTGCTCTCATGAAACCATGGACATAACGTTTGTACTCGCAAAGAGATCTTGCGTTGCCGATTCCAAGGAGTTTTTGTGTTTTGACTTGATTTAAAGTGTTACAATGCTACTAAACTAAGTCCACCAGGGTAATAACAATATTGATATACAAGAAAAGTTTATCGCACTCAGCTATCTTGGAAAATTATTTATATATGTCACATTGTCATTTTGGTTCATCTGTGAAATAAAGATACTAAAAACGAACGTTTATTTTCTTCCTTAATTTTATGACAGGCACGTGAGGACAAAAACACGGACGAAACACAAGTGATAAATGAAATATTCATAGATAGCTCAGAAGAAATGGTAGGTTGAATAATATGATTACACTTTCCCAACGATTTTGCGTCACCTATGGTTTTTACTTCCATTTAAGAAAGTCGGAAATGTTAAGAAAGAAATACGTTGAAGAAAAAGACCGATGAAAAATTGAAATATTATTTGACGCAAATAAATCTTATAAATTGTTTTCATGTCTGCCCCACAAAATGGGACACGAATAGTGTCTGTGTGTGTGTGTGTGGTGTGTGTGTGTTGGTGCGTGTGTATGTGTGTGTGTGTGCGCGCACGCGTGTGTGTGTGCGTTCGTGTGTCAGATGGCTTGTCCACTGTGAACTGATGTAAAATGCCCATCAAATATAAATTTCCTTCACCATATGTTTGATGCATGTCATGTCAATGTATTTTAACAATTTAAATTTATTCTTGAGCAAAGACAAAAAAGAAAAGACTTAATTTCAACTGCATGCTTCTAATTGGTTTATATTTTGCAATTACTACGCATCACTTTATTCTTTAAGTACGAGTCAATGTCTTAAACAAGATATCAATAGTTCTTCATTAATTGTTCCAGGTTTTGAAAACATTCCATCAACTGATACATATGGGTGAGGACCTAAATTATTTGTGCAAGGATAAATTAGGTCGTTCTATCTTACATAAAGCGGTAGACAATAATTTTCTCAGCGTTGTAGAAAAGTTGCTCGACTATGATTTTGACCCGCTGTGTTACGATGATAACTACCATATGCCGCTTCATATAGCCATAACAAAAGGATATGATGAAATGGCTGCGCTCATTGTTAGTAAACTTGACAATTTTGTGTAAGTTTAATATTTTACTACTTGCGTATATCTATGATCTTTTTTGTCTAGATATTAATGTTAGTTCGAGGTTTTGGTTATGAAATGCGCTCCTGTGTTTACGTAAACTGTTGTCTTGTTGTTTTATACTTTATTCAAAATAATATAAAGTATGTCTAGATGTTGAACTTTGTGTCACCCAACCTTTATGATTGCAATAGAACTAACTACATTGTATTGCTTCTGATATTAAACTAAACTTCCTGAACTAAATTCTTATATAAACTTGAAAGATTAATGCACTTTAATTGTAAGAAATATGTCTAACGGTAAACAAACTGGAATTGAAATACAGTTAATTATGTGTTGATTCAACAAACGACTTTTACGTTTATGACAATTAAGAAACTAAACGCGTTTTTGATATGATGCTTATTGTTTTCAGAGTCAGACGTCTTTTTGGAGACAATGAATCGAAAGCAAACAAATTTCGGGGAAAATCGAGTGTATATAAACGCACATTACTCAGTACCGGTACAGACTTGAGCAAATTCAAAACATTTAATGAAAACACTGTGAAGCCAATGTTTACAATTAATGAATTGATAGAATATAATCTTGATGTAAGTATTAGTGTTAGCAAATATGGAAGGTAATTAACAACAAAAGACTGCTGGTTATGACCACCTAGAACAATCAATAAAATAATATTTTGATTTGTGTTATATGCTTATTAAAGTAAGTGCTTCCTCCCAGTTTCCTATTTCTTTGCACATGGTCGATCACATAATTTACATTTCATACAGTTAATAATAAAACCATATATTAACAACATAAAATCCAAATTGTTCATATAAATTCTGTTAATTTCACCAAGTTTTGTAGCTATATTATTTCCAGACAGTTTGATTAAGCAAAAGTGTATTCCTGTTATGATTTGTCTATCATTTAATTATATCAAAAATATGTAGTAAGCAATACCGGATTGTATTTACAGCAAACACTGATGCAAGTGTTGGACAGTTTCCTGGAAGAACAACGAAATGGCTCATATAATGTCCATATAAAACTACTGGATATTGATGATAACAAACAAGAACCCACTCATGAAGATTTCGATTTCAAATGCTATACAACTTTTCATACCCTGGCAACTTGCGACAAAAAAGTAAGCGTGCCTGCATGTATGAACTACTAGTACATGTATTTCTTTCTTTAAATGAGCGTGGACGTCTTCTTTCGTGTAAGTTATTTAATGATTCTGTATGAATAGATGACTTTTGCTCCAATCAAAAAATTTTTTCAATAATTTCTGTATATTTATTAGGGAATAATATACATTTGGACAATTTCAGAATGTAGCCACATTCAAAAAGAAAATTTGTAAGAAAGTAGTAATATTTGAGTGTTCTTGAACTTTCAGGTCACATTTACACTATGTGAATTGATGGCTAGTGGAACACCAATATTTATAGAAATTTTTTGTGTTAGTGCCGAGACTTAGAATATGAATGAAATTAACTAATGATTTTTGTCTCTTAAGGATATTCATTGATTGTCCTTAAAAGAAGAAGAATATAGTATCTCGTCAATAGGCAATGATAATTTATTGTTAGGTAAAAATAGCAGTATAATCTGATATTTTTTTTTTTGGCCGCAAGCATTGTAGTTAATGTCTGAATTATTTTTGTCTCTTTACTTTTAAGTCTTTAAAAACTTTTCCTGCAAATGTTAAGAAAGATATTGTATGTTCAACATATTATTATAATTTTAAGGACGCTCTAAACCATCCTGCTGTACGGACGTATGTTGAACACAAATGGAGAAACTGGTGTCAGGCTCGTTTTCTGTAAGTCATCATTAAACGTTTAAGTGTCATATATATTCTGTAATGGTCTTTGAAGCAACTACCTCTTGGCTTCAAATGAAATGTTTTGATATTTAACTGAATATTCTGATTGTTTTTGTTTCATACATCTGATAAATGCCTCTTGCTTAGAATACTTTTAATGTTTTGCCGTTTACTTTTACCTATTATTGTTTTCAAATAAAAAAAGAAAATAATTAATGTATTTTGTTTTGTTAAATTACAGGCGATACTTCTTCCTGTACCTGTTAAGCTTATTTTGCTGGACGTATTCGGCTGTGACAGGAGTTAGCGCCCCTGATGTGCATACTTACGACACGAGGCTTCAACATTCCCGGGCATTTTTCGAAGTCATTGCATACTTATTTGCACTTGGAATTTTGTTCATGGAAATTTTACAGATTCTAAGGTAGCATGATCAATGGCAAATTTTTTAAAGAGTCAAATTTAGTTGTTTTTAGTGTAATTATTAGTTGTGCGGTAAATAAAACTGTACTGTCCTGTTTCTGAGATAAGGAATGGTTCGGAAACACATTGAACATAGGTCATTATTCATAGCCTAGATTTATAGATTTCTAAATCAGGTGAACGAATAAAACCCATCATAAACGTCTTGTAAATGTCTTAGAATTTTATTTCATAGATCATTGAAATTGAGCTTTTTGCTGTTTTCCAGACACAGGTGGTACTATTTCTCTCAGGCTTTCAACATTTTGGAATTAACTTCTGCAGCACTACTAGTGATGGTTTTACCACTACGCTACATCAACGTTACAGTACACTGGTACTTTTACGCCATTGGATATTGTTTATGGGGAATGAAAATATTCAAATATTCCATAGTGTTCAAGTAACTATTTCTTTGCTTTTGTTTTTTGTTATAATTTTTAACGCGTTTTGTTTGCACAGTTTGAACTATGACAATAAGCAGAAATTAACATTATTCTGTTTGTATTCACAAACGACATATCAATTGAACAGAAACACACCGATTTCTGTACATCGGAGCATTTTATTATTTCATACAGTATTTCTCTCCTGATTTTATAGAATATGACATTTGGTAAAATAAGTTTATTTCAAAAAAAAAAAATAATAGAGAAATACAGAATCCCCAAAGAAAGCCCAACACGACAAAATTGTAAATGTTGCAGGCTCGGTTTGATTGAGTTTGTTCATGGACGGTACTTGAAAGTGCAAGTTACCGTCCACGCTCCCTAGCACCGGCTTAAGCAGAATTCAACATTTAAACACTAAAATGGTGAAATTTTGAATTTAAAAACATCCGCAGATGTGTTCATACGTCTGTTCAAGCCGAGCTGCCAAGCAGTCAAATAGTTATAGGGGAAGTTATCAGGCTAGGTCGGAGCTCGTTCATGCATGTACTGCTTCTTTTACCATAAAATGACGTCAAAAGAATGTGACTCTTAACCTTAACAAGAGTTGTCTGTAGGGCAGAGGGCTCGAATATTCCGGCTGTTTGATAATAAAACAGGAGACTGGCTAATGGAAGAAATAACAAGGAAGAAGATTTCATTCGATAATATGCATGACATAGATATGCGTCTTGGTTACTGACCAAAGAATATTGACTGTTCATCTTAGCGCTATATTTCATTGATATCTATGCATAAGTTATGTCCTGGAAAAATGATCTCCAATTGTAATTTCTAACACCTGAATTACTTTTTCGTGAATCATCATTATCTTCTGTTTAAGAGATGCTCACCAGAATTGTTCTAAATACAACTGCCCTAATTCTGTCTTTTCAAATGAATATCTTCATAAGTTTTAAATATTGTTGTTGAATGCAATACTTAAACTAGGAAATTTCTAATTTCTATACGGGCAAAAATTCTGTTTAAATACGTGTTAGAGTTATGGGCCTTAGACATTGTCTGCCAATTATGATCTCAAATAAGTGTATGTTACAAGTAAATATATTTAGTGGTTGATGAAATATCATGTCGTACAAGGTGTTGCACTCTAAACTTTAACCAGTGTGAGAAACCGATCTCAACGCTCGGGTGAGCAGGAGTAATCCCAATTTTCTTCAAATGGTCGGGCTAAGACGAATTTGGTCAAACAACGCGGACATGTTACTACACTTTTCGTGTTCATAGAAATTTCTGGTAGTTATCTTTCAGACATTCATGACATGTTATCTTTTTTAGTGAGACAGGAATATATGCAGAGGTGATCAAACGGATTATTGTTCAAGATTTTGTTCAATTCAGTATTCTGTTTGCGGTGGTAAATCTAATATTTTCTGGAACATTCATACTGATTTTGAAGGCAGACGATAACTTGAATGCTCACGCAGAGACGAGGTATATATTTTTTAACAGTTATGGGACGGTGTTTTTTCCTCGATAAATTCTCGTTGACACATTCAAGAAATGTCTGATTAAAGTCTACTAGGGGATCATTAATTTCAAGTGTTAGGTTTGGTTAAAGGCCAAATGTTAAAAACCCAATACATTTTTTTCTTCTTTAGAAAGGGCAAACGTGACTTTGTGTCATAATGTTATAATTATGGACTTGCGGATTGTTAGATGCTTATCGTCTAAAAGAATGAATGTAATATTAAGGTAGAATATTGAAAATAAAGTGGTATTTTGAATAACAACCAACATAATAAGTCACTCTTATTGTACTTATCGAGAAGCAAATGAAATTTCTTTTAGGGAAATGTAACATGGCATCAAAAATATAAAACTAAACCTTTGGGAATAACAAAAATTTACATAACGAGGATAAGTGGACCTAATAGCGACTTTGATGTTAAATGCAGGTTTCAATATTGCTTGGCCTGTATCTATTACACAGACCTGTACAATACATGTTGTCTTTTTTTCTCCCTCTATTTGAGATAGCAAACGATTCGTTTATATATATTCATGAAGGATTGTCAGCCGTTTTTGAAATAAACATTTTAAGACTTAGGATTCTGCTGTTCAAATGTTCAGGTATTATGTGCTGTTTTCACGCAAAACTCTGGACTCTGTACAAGTATTTAAAACGAAGTAATTGAAATACAGATACATTTCTATACTATTTCAGCTCATTTCAAGGCACAATGTACGTAGGTTTGCGGACTTTGATTGAAGCTGCCGCTATAGTCGAATACTCTGGAACAGATGGATATAGGTATGATACTGGTATATATTTATCTAGACTTACATATAATTAGTCACGTAAATACGATAACAGTATGTGATATCTTTATGTATATGTGATATACAAACGATAGTCCTCACACTCTTTGTTTAATGATTGCCGGTGATATCGCAGATTGTGCTAAAATTGCTACATTGATCAATTTTGCTTGAATATTGGCATGGAAATTAATCATGACAAAACAGAGATAATTGTATTTCGAACTGGAGGTCGTGTTCGAGGGGTTAGAGTCGATGACTTCTAATCCAGTTACCTCTCTGGCGTGGGTTCGATCCCCGGGAGAAGCTTTGGTAGTTTAGCACGGAGGAAGGTAGTCTAATACTGGTGTAACTCTCCAGGAACGATGGTTAGTATATGACTGAAATACTGTTGGAATAAGGCGTAAAATGAAACAAACAAACAAACATCGTGTTTGTAATAATTATGAACCTTGCTGTTGTTGTTTTTTGCTTATGTTTTGTTTTGTTTTTTGTGTGTTCAAATAACAAACTTATTGTTGAAATCGGTAGGCATTCAAATATTCCATTTCCAGAACGCTTTTGCAACTTTTGTCTCGAAAATCATTTTTTTTCTTACATTGCAGTGAATATTATGGCGTTTTTTTTATTGTTTTTTTTTGTTTTTTTTTTTTGTTTTTTCTCATTGTAGCAAATATTTAGAAACTAGAAATATCTATTTAGTAAATTGGTATAATTTCGGAATTTGATAAGTTTTATGAAAAACTTTCATCAAATGATATTTTTGTAATTAATTAAATCATTACATTGTTATTTATGTAAATTTGCAAGTGGTATAATATATTTTCTATTGTTCGTTGCATATTTCTGGGACTTATAATGTGTATTGTATTGTTACGTTATTGAAATATGTTTTGTGCAACTAACGCATTTATTTCAATTGTACTTATATATATTGGTCGAGTGAGTTTTCCTGAAAATACTTTTTTGTTCTTTTTACTGAAACAGTTGTTCATTGATTACAATATTTAATCATATTATTTCTATTTACATACTATTATTTCTATATATGTCTATTATGACATAATTTAATTAACAGTAACACTATATTTGTTTTTACAGGACGGCTGGAACCATTTTAATACTGGTGTACATGTTTTTTACAATTGTTGCTTTGCTCAATATATTAATTGCTCAAGTCAGTGAAACCTACACTAGAACACATGGCGATTGTGTGAAGACAGTACGAGCAAATCGTGCATGGACTATTGCACGTGCAGAGAGAAATGAATGGCATATTCTTCCATGTAGACAAGTATGATGATGGTGTTTATATATCTTACAATTTTTAAAATATTCTTTTGTATTTAATGAAATTGTTTATTTGAAACTTACCTTCTTTATAAATCCATTTATAAACTTTCAACTTTGGCAATATTGTTGGTTACTATATAAATCGTCATGCTGAAGGAGTACTAGTTTAAATGTAGAGCTCACATTTAGCGTTATTTTGACATTTATTGTTACCGTTCATTGACATTGAAATGTAGGCCTTTACTGATAATGATGTCACTACTTTTATAAAATATTGCAGCCTCGCCGAGTGAAACATTACCTTGGCGTTATTAAACACATCGATTTAGATGCCATTAAGAAGAGAGAAAGTACCTTCATTGAACAAATATCAGAAAAGATTGTAAAAATCGAAAAAAAGCAAATAAAGGACGGCCTAGAAGTGCATACAGTGAAAACGAGGCTTGGTGAATCCACGCAACGTATTGAGGGCAAAATCGATGACCTTTCAGAACAACTGAAGAAAGTCCTAGATCTCTTGAAGGAACGAAATAAATAATATTATTTTTAGAAATTACCTATTGTTTTGATGCCGCAGGCTGCACTACGGAATGTGGTAAATGTGCTGGCTGTTTGCCGATCTCTTTACACCCATAATATCTTATAATTGTGAGAGCTGTTTTCAGGATTTTTTCTCTATAAAATGTGATATAAGTGATAAATATGTGGGCTGTTTACCAGGACTCGTGGTAAATGTGAGGCTGTAAACTGTCTCTTTTCGTGACATGCTGTAAACATATATTCCTACTTAGTATCATTCTACAATGTCACCTTTCAATGAAATCTTTGCTGCTGGAACTATATTCAGAAACTATCACCGTTTATTATGCTCGTGTGTGTTTATATATAATTTTACAGAACATGTAATATGTTCGAAAAATAATTTGAATTAAATAGCATTTTACTGTTGAAGTGTTATACTTCTATATGTCACATTGAGAAATCATGATAATACACAACTATATTTTTGAGCAAAGTATTTTTTTTTCGTGGATTTTTGTCTATAACATTTTTCTTTCATTTAACTTTTCAGTATGTGTATATATAGTTGTCATTGTAACAGATTATATTGTATAGAAGTATATTTTCCACTTTTATGCAATGAAAAAAGAATGAAGACGGCTCTTGGATATTACGTTGTATTATAAACTACGAAACATGTGAAACATTTAAAATTACTACTGTTTTGCAAATATTTTTAAACTTCAAGAGTCGCCTAGTACGCAAAGATTAAACAATTATCATGTTTTGAATATAGAACAGTTTATCATCATATCAAAATGGTTCAAAATAAACACAAATTATTTTGTTCAGGTAGACCTAAATTTGTTACAAATGGAACAGTCACAATGTGTATGTTAAAAACAGATATGTTCCATATGAGACACTGGATTAAAGAAAACATGTATATTATCTTAATCTACTATCAAATAGTGAACCATTGAATGTAAAGAAACAAAGACACTAAAGAACTAACAGATGGCGGAGGATTAATACGATACTTGCAAATTATTGGAAAAATAGTTCTCGTGGATTTTCATTCCAATACAACAACATCAAATATGAGAGTATTATAATGCATTTTTACATCTAACCAAACAGTTGTTAATTTTTATTAAATGTTTTTTTATTTTTCCTCTTAAAAGCGAGCAATTTTATTCAACATCATGTATTGAATTTTGCTTTTAAAACCGGTGCTAGGGAGTGAACGGTCAATTGGATTCAAGAACACACCAAAGAACATATTTTGAAGCTAATAATTTTGTTTCAAGAAACTTAAAAGTTTTGGTATCTTGTCAGTGTTTCCAAAAATACTCATTTACCATATAGATTAAACTATCTTTGTTTCTTTTGCTTTGTTGACAAATTGTATGATTAAAAAGAATTAGTATTTTGTATAGAAGTCAAAATACTACATGTACTTTGTATACATTTTCCTACCTTTATGGCACATTACTGCACATTCAGCGCTTCTTTTTGTATTTTCTGATCGTAAGATCAGTAAATACATAGCTAACATCCACGGTCTAACACAAAATTTCCTTACAGTCCTAACAACGCAAAGTAGTTCTCACTCAAAACTGCTTAAAAACCAGCAATTTAAAAGAAAGAATAATTTTTAATGTAGGCATTTAACAAATTACAGTGCATTAAAAGTTTAGATTAGTCAATAGAAATATGAGGTTACAATCACAAATTTCGCGGATGAATATCATTTTTACCCAATGAAAAATGTTCGGCTATTTCCGTAAAGCTTCGGATTATCATGAATATCATTTTAATCAATGAAAATGCTATTTTTGGCTATGTCGATTAATGAATACTCCAGAGCGTAGTACACAAATAAATCTGACTGTCGAGTAGTGGAATATATACATGTCGGACTGTTTTGGCGAGAAGATTTTCGTTAAATTATTTTCACCAGTGTTAAACAACAGGTTTATCGTGAACAATATACCTCGAAATTAATAAGGATTGCAAACACGAAATGGAAATTCTCAATTTAGAATTACATAATGTATTCGTTTTTATTCAAGGTACATATGTATTACTTCGCCGTGGTGCAGAGGTAAGCGGTCTCGTTGAGGGTGTGAGAGGCCTATGGTTCAAATCCTAGTCGAGGCAATTCTATTTTTTTTTTCATGCAAAATTCCATTTGTATCAATCTCAAACTGTTATAGAAGAAAATCAAAACGCTGTCGCTGCGTAAGATGAATTATAGTATATAAAAATTAACTTATACAGGAAAGTACATACAGATAGTCAGTATGATTTAGATTGCAAAGATCAGAAAATACCATAGAGCTGCAGCCCTTTGATTTCAACTGTTAAACATCTAACATACTCTAACAAATCTATTATTAAACATTATTACACATAAATGGCATTTCTAAAGAATTTAATAAATAATATTTCTGAGGCATAACGTGCCTCTTAACTGTATGTAATATACATGTATAATCACACACAATATGCAGAAAGGATAATTGTTAAAGTACATTTTTGTGTTTGAGTGTGCTTACAAGGCTAGTCTATCACAATTAAGATAGAAAAAAGTTACTTTGAACGCTCGTCAATAATAAGTAGAAGCAAACATTTTTATTCATCTTAAACGATTCTAAATATTTTCATCAAAAAAATGTTACCGTTTATCCATTTATCGAATATTGTCATCTAATTTCATTAAAATCAATGAAGATGTCGGAAGCATGCACAGTTGCACAAATTTGCTCGAAATTTGCAATCATATAAATCATAAAATCACTTATTTTCTTCTTGTGTATGTATAAAATATGATAAACAAGATCAAAAAGGAAAGGCGGCGTTCAATAAACGCAACCCCCACACGACCCAGCAACAAGAACTAGTGGCGTGGAGCCCAGGCGGACCCAAAACAAAAACAGGACAGGGCACAAGGCAGAGCACGGACAGGCTATCACTAAAATGATAAATAATTTGTAACTGATAAGGAATTCAAAGAAAACAAATAAATGATTGAATTATAGGAAATAATTTGTAACTGATAACGAATTCAAAGAAAACAAGCAAATTGAATTTATATCCCTCGTCGAGTACTGGCTATTACTAACTCAACAACTGAAGACGTAAGGTTTTATTTATATATATTTATTATAACAACGGGGCAACATTTTAAGCTGCCACACGGCACTTGAGACCTGCTATTGTGAAGTAAAAATATCTGGATATAATGTGCTTCCTCGGAAGTATTAATGACAACAAAATTACACGACAATTTACAGCCACTGTGATATATGACATGGACATAAAAAGATTTGCAGAAGTTCAAAACTTAGATTCATGCGTGTAAACAATTATACATGCAATGTGTAAAAATTACCTGTTTTTTGTTCACATATATACCTTTTTAATAAAATGTTGCGCACTTTTACAAGAAGAAATACATTCACACACAATCAGTAACATTTCGCAGAAAATTTGGTTGACTTTTCCTGACGCATGCGTTCAATTATATATTGGTCTTACAAAACTGCTTTCTACAAAGTTTAGTGGAAACTATTTTTAATATTATTTTTCTCGCATTTGAGTTAAACAATGAAGTACTAGTACAAATCTAGTAGAATGAAATAAGGCGTTCTCCTGGGTAAATGTTTTAATCACAAATCAATAAAACTTGCAGTTGGAGAGAGATTCTGCCGCAGAATCCTGCCTGACCATTCTATTTATGTTCGTTCTGCTGGCGATGACGCCTTAATGACGTTATGTATCTATTACAAAATATCAACACTATTTCACGTCTAAATTTTGCTCCTGTCAAACAGTAAAGTAAACAGTTAATAGAATGGTTTAAAAACATGACCATTAAAAGCATTGTCCAACAAAGAAACAGGTGATTATACTTCAAAGAATGTATCTCAATGTCAGAAACATGAGTAAAGTTTAAAGCCACTTGATAAATACTAATTGGTGCTGTAGTCAGAACAAAAACGGTGTTAAGACAAAAGATCAGCGGAAACAATGACTTCCGTTTTCGGGCAACTTTAAAGTTTCTTCTGAAGTCGCAATGTTCCAATTCAGATTTAGGAAAGTGTGGAATTTTCTGTTTCAGTTTATAAAGAATAAGCGAGTTTCCAATTATTATTAATGTACATGGAACAAAACAGTAAACCGTTGAGTCAATGAATGGCCAAATGTTTTGAAAGAAGTAACGATAGTCCTCGTTTGAAGCCGCACATGACGGGAAAATCGGTTCAATGTCAAATCTGTAAACTATTCCATAGAGTGCGTGAGAATTTAATATCATCAACATAACACAAAGGCAAACAACAACTATTTTAGCATATCTTTTAGATTCAACTCGCCGTGCTCGAAATGGAAACCAAACACATATAACTCTTTCAACAGTTATTATTGTAATAACCCAAGCCGAAAACTGAACTGATGTAAACAAAAACCAGGAGTGAATTTTACATCCGATAGATTTATAGTTTTTGATGTTAGAATCAAATGCTATGGTCAACCATTCCGTGAAGAAGCCCGTGTATAATGCAATTATATCTGACACAGCAAGAGCCGTCAGGTACACAGCCATAGCAGTTGTCTTCAATGACGATTTTGTGTATACGATTATAGTTAAACAATTACCTATGGTTCCAAGAAATAACAAAATTGGTGGAATTATAATCCAAATGCATCTTTTTATTTTGTATTCACGGTACTTTTGAATAATATCCGACTGGTTTGACCTTAAAATTGTATAATTTGAAAACGATGCAATTAGATAGTTCATACTTTACTCAAATATATTCAAAAAGCAAAATATGTTTACTCCGTTAATAATTTTGTTCTTGTATTGTGTACAAAATTTCTTCTGTAAAATGAAGCACTCAGATCACGGCAGTATTTTAATGTATCCGGAAAAACAAAACGTGACATTAGAGCATTTATTAACGTAACACTGCGTAGTATAAGAATTGTTTTTACATTAAGGCAGTATCGATTCGATTCAGAATGTCAAGGCTAGTCGTGGTTGCTTATTATTGATACAAGATAAGAAGTTAAGATATAAAATTAATACAATAGAATAGAGGAAAACAGAATCCCTAATGAAAGCCCAACTCGGCAAAATTGTAAAAAATTGCAGGCTCGGTTTGATTGAGCCTGTTCATGGCTCTATACTCTAAAGCTTATATTTATACAATAACAACATGTAGGAAGAAATACAAGCATGTATTTTATTTTTGTTTTTAATGACTGTCAACCTGTTTTCATCTGTGTATAAGTCAATTGAGCTGATCAAAATGAGCATTTCTGTAAACGGTAAGGTTTAGATACATACCTCTATTATATCAATGTCAGTTTACATGTGTTTGGTATTGTCTGATTGACCTGAACATTGCAAACTAATTTGAATGAGCCTGTACGTGAGGGATAATGAAAAAGTGTTTGAATCAATGAACCAGAAGGACCAATTTATTATATTTTTTGGTCAAGGGTATCAATAGTATTTTTGGAAACTCTGACAAGATACCAAAACTTTAATGTTTCTTGAAACAAAAATTTTAGCATAAAAATATGTTATTGGGTGTGTTCTTGGACGGTTGTGATAAACCCAAGTGACCAAGCCCAATTATATGTCCTTTATATCAACTTGATCAGCATTTGCAGCTACACTGAAATTGACCGATTATCTAGTGAATCAGATATATCTTAACTCTAGTTCGGTAGCAAAGCGACGTCATATTTTCGCTTATTTAAACGAGGCCAAGTATCGTGTGCAATAAACACAAGTTGTTAGATAAACGAAACGGCAAGAACTGTTTAGATTCTGACCGCAAAATTAACACGACAATAGATTTTACTGCTGCAAGAATATATGTTCGTTCTAATGCTCTATGTTTTATTAAACGTTCAAGTGCAAGTAATTCATTATGTTGTTTGTATAACTATTTCATTACAGCTCATGTTATCTCATAACGATTACATTATTGTTCTGATATGGGCTTGCGATGAAATGGCCCTTAATAATTTGTTAAAATAAATTATTTGTTTAATTTCGGCTTCCTACATGTTGTTATTGTAGAAATATAAGCTTTATAAATTGATATGTCTTTAAAATATTAGTAACGAGTGAAATTCATTTTTTCCCAAAAACGTTTCGCATAAATAACTAGATTTGTTTTATTTATTGCTTCCTTTTGTTCAAATGGATAACCAAACCCAGACGCCATAACCTGCCATGATAAACAAGCGTTTGATAGCAACGTTTTATATATTCATTTCTTGATTAATCAAACAAACGTACCAAATACTTAACGCAGCATTTTGCTGAATAAATATGCATTGGGAATCCACCTAAATCACCTAATACTGAATCATTACATGAATTTGTTTGTACTTAAAAGACTCATTTACAGGTATAATTTTGTACAATTTCTATATAATGTGACTGTATCATTCACGAAATAGCACAAATACGTAAAAGTCTCTTAATTATTAAATATGCATTGGGAATCCACCTAAATCACCTAATACTGAATCATTATATGAATTTGTTTGTACTTAACTTAAGTTTCATCCCGAATAAGGATTTCTCAGCATTAGCAACAGCACCGCAAAATTGACAGTTAAAGGTCATTCTTGTAAACAATGACCAGTGTTATCAATAGGCCCTACTAAAATGATCGAAAGTAGGCCTAAACCAAAGTTATTTGCGGATGACATTATATATAATGTACCCAGATCAACGTTAGATATACGTTAAATATATGGCACGACGTCAAATACCTTTAAACAACGTTAAATTGACGTTGTTGTGACATCAAATTTAAGTCGAATTTCAAACAATTGTCTTGATTACTTTTAGATTATAACCCCGCTATGTGATTCTAAATCCGGTTCAAGACCAGCAAACGAAGTTCGTATTTTAATATAACTTTCCATTTGCTTTATATTTTTAATGAATTTATTAAAACAAACAAAATTAAAATCTCAAATGAATGGGAAAATCATCGAAAATAAGTTGAATTTCAAAACGAGGCAAAACAAACCGTTAGATTTATCGAAACATCAAAACCCAAATAGGCAAATCAAAGCCTGTTTTACACCTTCCTTAAAACTCAAAGCTATTATTTTGTGTATCTATCTATGTGTTCTGAATTTTGTTTTAAATTAGCATTTACAAGGAAAGGTAACTTTACCAATTTCCGAGAAAAAAAAACAGGTCTCCTTCAATATTTTAAATCATTGTTGTAGAACTATTTTTATGGTCACTGAAAGATTGTTTTAAGATATGACCATCCTAATGCATTATGATAAGTATATAAAGTTTTACCATTGCCTCTGCATGTCATGCCTGTAACAGTTACGTGCCACAGTTGTAATAAGAGTTTATTTGTATTTTTCCTGGTGTTTGTGCGCAAGCCTTGGTGGTTGTCCTGATGTTGTTCTATTTCTGTTTCACTACTGTAACATATAGTGTTATATTACCATGCTTGTACATTGTTGTAACAAAAATCTTCTTTACGATTGCATTACAAGTTCAAGATAATTCAGATAATGCAGAAGCGCAACATTGTAAATGCTTCGGAGAACTTGTAAAAATCACCATGTCAATTAATGCTTTGTATAGATGGTTTCCTCTGGCTAAAAATTCAAAGGTATCCCGGTATTGTTGGGTTCTTTAATAATGTTTCCCTTCTATTTCAGATTTCTAGAATTATGTTAAGCATTGAGTTAATTTACACAAAATATCAAACATGTCTGGTTTTGTTTGTTTGTTTGATTTCGTATAGCACCTTTACCACGTTGAATACGATGCACAGTAGCAGCAAAGACATTATGTCCCATCAATTTTTAAATACATGTAACTTGTTTAACAATATTTCTGTAGGACATATTTTTGCTTCAAAGTCCTCAAATAATGCCCTCAATTAAATCATTTCAAATGGGATGGGTGTATGGATGATACACTACTTGACATGAATTAATCGTTTTGCACAAGTTTTCATAAGCTATAAGATCTTATTACGTGTTTTGATTGTGTTTCACAATAAATTTAACACATATCGTACTGTACAGGCTTTGCTGTAAAATTAATGGAAAAATAATGTTTTACGAGACTCTTGATAGGCGCAATTTGTTAAATACTTTGTAAAAGTAACTCTTCTTTGCACCTGTTTCAGTTTTCTCCAAAACTGTAAGCCATAATTATATGCATACCAACTTGTAACTTCGATTCTATTCATGGCTTTAGAGAGTTAACTGTTAACTTCTATTTTAGGCATTGAATAATTTCAGGTGTTCAGGATCCGTATATGGTGATCCTGCGCAGACATTATATTACTTATATCCCATCCGCTTAGCTCGTGGAGAATATATTGGTACTGATACAGAATCCAGGAACACTTGTTCAGTTAACTGCGCACCGATATATAGTACTGTAATACTGTTAAACAACAAAACAAAAAAACAAAGAGATTAGCTGTCAAAATACACAATTAACATACAGGCAACATATTCTAAGGGTGATTAAATAGAATAGAGAAAAACAGAATCCCTAAAGAAAGTCCAACACATTGAAAATGTTGCAGGCTCGGTTTAATTGAGCCTGTTCATGGACGGTACTGGAAAGTGCAAGTTACCGTCCACGCCCCCTAGCATACTGTATACTGACAGGTAGGATTGAAAAACACCAAGCTTGATTTTTTTTAACAGTAATGGCCCCTTAATGGTCAATTTTTGAGTAAAATAAGCTTGTCCGCGCTTCATCACCAAAACTGATGGGGGTTTCAATGAAACTTTAAAGGTTTGTTTGTCACCATGCTTAGTTTTGCACAGTATCTTTTGTTTTGGCACAGTTATGGTCCCTTGATGGTCTTTTTTCGAGTAAAAAAAGCTTGTCCACGCTACATCTCAAAAACCGCTGGGGCATTGTCGTGAAACTTCACAGGATTGTTTGTCACTATGCCTAGTTATGCATAGTATGTTGATATTTCGCTTGAATTTTCAAAAATCAAAATACTATGCATAACTAGGTATGGTGACAAACAATACTGTAAAGTTTCAATGAAATGCCCAAAGCGATTTTGGTTATGAAGCGCGGATAAGATTACCGAATGGACGGAAGGACGACAGTTCGAACGGGAAAGTAATGACGTGGCTATTATTTGTTGGCTTTTGTTCTTTTTAGCCACTTCAAGGATAATAGCCTCATAAAAGTATTACAGAATATGTGACATCACAGAAAATGAACAGTAACATATTGTTCCTCAAGCCACATAAGTATCCATAGGTAAGCTCGGAGGGACGGAAGGACGGACGGACAGAGCGATTACTATATATACCGTCCTTCGGGGGCAAACAAATTGAAATACCAGGATTAGTAATTAAGTTTGAGAAAACCTTTCGATTCTATAGATAATATATATAAATCGTTAGGCTTTTGTTAATTTGAATCCTCCTTTGAAAAATGGATTGACGTTTTCTATGCAAATGTACAATCATGTGTTAAAATAAACGGGCAATTCTTGAAATAGTTCATTATAAAAGTGGTTTCAGGCATCTTTCTACTCTGTGCAGAAATATTGGTTCTATTGATACTTAAACAAAAATAAACATTAATGGTATCAAAATTGGCTATAAGGAATATGATAAACAAGATCATCAAGGAAAGGCGCACCCTTTCTAACAATACGCAGACTGTAAAATTGTATGGTACAGACAAATCTTTGAAAAATGCAATTTTTGTACTAAAATTCTATGCTAACGCCTCCGCATTAATTTGAAGAAAAAACTATCGTCATTTGGTTTGAAAGTCTGAAAAGAAGCGACATTTAAATACAAATCGAAGAAACAATTCTATAGGAAAATAAAACAAAGCCCCTTTCAAAATTACATTAAAT